GGCCCTTCCCTATATCGAAGTGGCCTGCCTGCGTCCAGTCCAGGAAGCTTCCGGTAGGCCCCGGTAGGCACAGGCCCAGTCACGAAGAGAGCAGGCCTTGGGCCTGAAGTGGTTGCATKCGCCCAACTGCTTTCGGCCTGTGTTTGGGCCGGTACCCGTATCCAGCCCAGGGCCTGCTTCACATTCATTTACACAGGCGGCCCAGGGCCTGGATTCATTCAAACAACTGGCGCAACGCAACTGTCTGAATTTCCCCGATGCGGGGTACCCTGAAGAATGAGGCCCGAAGGGCCTGTCGTGCCTGCCTTCACTTAGGGCGGCCGACCTTGTTGCAGATAGGGCCCCGTAGGGGCTAAGCGGGCGTAGCCTCGCAAATTAAAATTAAAATTAAAATTAAATTTAAAATTAAATTTAAAATTTAAATTTAAATTTATATTTAAATTTAAATTTAAATTAAACAAAAAAAAAAAGAGTCCAGCCACCAGAGCTTACGTCAACCAGCCTGCAGCCTGCAGCAGCAGTTTACCACAGAGTTACCACAGTTACTGAATGCTACCGTCTTCACCCGAATAGAACGCCTGGTCATTATCGCTGCATCTGGACTCAAAATGGCCCAAATACAGCTATAATGGCCGGGCTTATATTCGGGTGAAGACGGTAGTTACTGAATCTACTACCCGAATACGGTAGTTACTGAATCTACTTACCGCTACCGTCTTCACCCGAATAGAAGGCCCGGCCCGGTCATTAACGCTGCATCTAGACTGAAAATTGCACCAAATACGGCTATAATGACCGGGGGCATTCTATTCGGGTGACTACGGCTGTCGTTCTGATGCACCCCCATGGCAGCAGATATTTCCCAACCATGGCTTCTATTTTTGTGCATTCTTAGGCACCCCCATTACCGCTGTATCTAGACTGAAAATTGCACCAAATACGCCTGGGCTGACGCAAAGCTCTGCAGGCTGGACTCTTGCATGCAGTCTCCAGCCACACTTGTTACTTTTTTTTTATTTTTTTTTACCACCAGCCAGACTGCGTGCGTTTCACTTGAAATTTACCACAGTTACTGACTAGTTACCACAAGGAATTACGGCGAGTTACCGCAACCATCTTCACCCCACTAGAAAGCAAGGTCATTATCGATGTACCTAGACTGAAAGTTGCCCCAAATCAGAACAGCTATAATGGCAATGCGCTCTACTTGCCAGAGTTACCACGGTTAGTACTAGAACTTACCGCAGTGAGTGCTCGCAGCAACAGCTACCATAGATACCAGACAAGCAATGCTCACGCCGATGGGGCGAAAATATATTCAAGCAAAAATTTACTCAAGAATAAAGAAAATAATTCAGCAAAAATTTACTCAAGAATAAAGAAAATAATTCAAAAATTGTGAAATTAATAAATTATCTACAACCTACTTGGCTCGCCCAGCTGTGCACCCTGCGTAAGTCGTCCAGGGGTCACCTGCACGGGGCACCCCGTGTAGGCAAAAATCAGCCTCTTTTTTTTTCCTTTCTTTTTTTTTGGGGAGGGGGGGGGGGGGGGGGAGTGAAGTTTTTCCGCACATGAGCAGAGAAGCCTAAATACGGGCTGCTTTCTCTTATCGAGTGTTGCCTGTCAACGGGGCGGGGGGGAGGAAGGGGGGTATAAATTGGTTTTAAAGGGGGGGGGGTAGGAAGGGGTTTAGAGCAGGGTGCCTTACTCTGATTTTTATTTTTTTCCTTTTTTATCGTCAATTGTGTGAGGAATTCGGATGTGACGCTCAGCCAAAAGAGGTTTGTATTGTACTTTTACACCCAAAAAAAAATAAAAATAAAAATAAAATAAAATCTGTATTCTTTTGAAGTTTTGATTCTTTGATTTTCTTTTCTTTGGCACTGGGGCTGTCTGGGACCCTGCTCAGGGTTCATGCCCGGCCGGGCACCGGGCCGTGTATAGGGGCATCCGTTGGGTGCCCAGGTGCCCGGGCGCCCAGACAAACCACCTAGAAAGTAATTAAAATTATTAAATTAATAAAATTATGATCAAAATCGGTCGGCCTGCACCCTACGTCTTCCCCAGAATAGAACGTGCAGTCTTTTTTTTTTTTTTTTTTTTTTTTTTTTTTACAGTCATCATAGCTGTATTTGGGGCAAATTTCTGTCTAGCAACAGCAATGATTAACGTAAATTTCTATTTGGGGGCAACGGTTTACCACAATTACCGCAGTTAAGACTACTTTACCACCAAAAAATTACCGCAGTTACACACTCGCTTACAACAATTACCGCAGTTACACTACGGTAGGCAAATTTCTGTCTACCAATAGCAATGGTTAACACACACACAACATACGTTCTATTTGGGGGAGATGGTTTACCACAATTACCTCCGTTAGCAATAGTTTACCGCAAAAAATTGCCGCAGTTAACACTAGTTTACCACAAAAAATTACCGCAGTGAAACACTAGTTTACCACAAAAAATTACCGCAGTTAAACACGAGTTTACCACAAAAAATTACCGCAGTTAACACTAGTTTACCACCACGGTTCACGGCAGTTACAACTACCTGCTTTCCCCGAATAGAACGCACAGTCATTATAGCTGTATTTGCGGCAACTTCCAGTCCACACACAGAAATAATGAGAGTATGCGATGTATGCGTTCTATTCTGGCGGAAGACGATAGAGTTACCAGAGGTAATACCACAGTTACCACACGACCAACGTTCACACCATAAGACCAAAAAAAAAAAAAAAAAAAATCACAAATAATTTTAGAATCTAAAATTAAAAATTGTGAATTTGTTTTTTTTTCAGATTTGCAATTAAATTAAATAAATGATCGCAGTAATCGCAGTTTGTAATTTTTTTAATATTATTTAAAATTTTAAATTAAAATAAATGATCGGAATATCTAATTTTATTTTATCTTTTTTTTAGATAAAATAAAATTAGATATTCCGATCATTTATTGTAATTTAAAAATTCGAATAATATTTAAAAATTAGAAATTGAGATCATTTATCTAATTTAATTGCAAATCTGACAAAGAGAATCCAGCAGCCATTTCACCATCTGGCTGATTTTTTTTTTTTTTTTCCCTCTTACCATGCGGCTGATTTTCAGTCTCAGGTTTTTTTTTTTTTTTTTTTTTTTTTTTTCCCAGAAACTCTTCTACTTTATTCATCTAGTTCCATGATGATTCGAACTCATGTCTGTATCTCAAACATGAGTTTGAATCCTCATCGAACTAGATGGATAAAGCAGAACAATTTCTGAAAAAAGTAAACCGTTTGTTAAATAAATACGTCGTGTCACAAACGCAACACCGCAAATCACCAATCACCTCAACCATTCAGCGGTAGCCCTGGAGAAGAGACACACAGAGAGAGAGAGAGAGAGAGAGAGAGAGAGAGAGAGAGAGAGAGAGAGAGAGAGAGAGAGAGAATGATATTCGCAAATCGCGGAGGACTTTACCATTCACTGATAACTCTGCAGAAAAGAGAGAGGGAGAAAGAGAGAAGTAGAGAGAGAGAGAGAGAGAGAGAGAGAGAGAGAGAGAGAGAGAGAGAGTTGCTAAGCTAAGGAATACCCGTCATGCATGCATGCCACCTGGCGTCACTGCTGCTGCTCTACCCGAGGGGAGGGGGGAGCCTTTTTTATTCTCGTTGTACCGCCTCCACCTCCTCCTCCTCCTCCTCCACCTCCCCCTCGTCATGCATGCATGCCACTGCGTCACTTCCCCTCTTCTCCCCCCCTGGAGGGCGAGAAAAGCGTTTTTTTAATGCTGGTTATGCGACCACCTCCTCCTCCTCCTCCTCCCCGCCATCTACCTCCTCCTCCTGCTCCATCGTATCGACTACTACTACGTTATCTCCTCCTCCTCCTCCTCCTCCTCCTCCTCCTCCTCTTCCTCCTCCTCCTCCTCCTCGACTAACTCCTCCTCCGCCTCCTCCTCCTCCTCCATGACTCAGAGTACCCTAGACAAGGTCCAATTTCAATCCAAAAATGACATGAATTAAAAAAAAAAAAAAAGGATCAAATTTTCAAATTCCTAATAAGGGGGGGGGGGAAATAGCATGGTTAAAAAAGTGGCAATTATTTCTTATAAACAAAAAAAGAGAGGACAAGGAATTACCGAATTTACCTTCTTAATTTTTCCGCTACCCGTTTTTTTTCGATTCCAACACATCCCAAAATAATAATGATGTCTCGAATCGAAATTCAAAAGTCCTGTCACGATGAATGTACATGGTCAACGCCAATGGCCAGGTGCGGCACACACTTCTAGATGCTTTTCCCACAACGGCAGACGAGTGCAATTTTGAAATTGCATGTAGCACACAAGAGTAAGAAGACCCATAGGGTCACGTCCAACGTCATCCCGTATGTGTTTTTTCAGTCTATAAATTTTGTTTTATTTTTCTTTTTAATTTATTCCTACCGTCTTCCCCCGAACACAACGCACCCTTATTTTGGCCGTATCTGGCCGGAAATATAGCTTGTGCGTTATGTTCGAGGGAAGACGGTAGTAGAAATAATCCATCATGGATGAATGCTACCTCTCCGTCGTTCTCCTCCTCTAGGGATTATGTTCACCATCGCACCTCCTCCTCGTCCTCCTCCTCCTCCTCCTCCCCTCGTCCTCCTCCCCCTCGTTCTCCACCACGTCCTCCCCGTCCCCTCGTGCTCCGCCATCTACCTTCTCCTCAGCACCCTCCTCCTCCTCCTCCTCCTCCTCCTCCTCCGTCACCATCTCCTCCTCCTCCTCCCCCTCCGTCAACATCTCCTCCTTCTCCCCCTCCTGCTATGCCCTCCCGCCTCCTCTCCCACCTCTTCCTCCTCCATTGCAACCTCCTCCTCTTCCTCCTGTACCGAGTCCTCCCTCTCCGCCGCTCTGCCGGGGCGGAGGAGGCGGAGGAGGCGGAGGAGGCGGAGGACGCGGAATGCGGAGGAGGTGTAGGAAAGCGGCAGAGGGAGGGCGGGGGGGGCCGGGGAGAATCAAATTGTTCGTTGTGCCACCTCCTCCTCTCCGTCTCACCCACCTCCACCTGCTCCTATTCCTCCTCCTCCTGCTCCGTCACATCCTTCTCCTCCTCCTCCTCCCCCTCGTACTCTGCCACCTCCTCCTCCTTCTCCCCACCCTCCTTCTCCACCATTTCCCTCCGCCGTGCTCGTTGTGACACCTCCTCCTCCTCCTCCTCCTCCTCCTCCTCCTCCTCTACCACGTCCCCCTCCTCCCACTCCAGCTCCGTCATCTCCTCTCTCATCCCGCTCCTCCTCCCTCCTCCTCCTCCCTCCTCCTGCCCCGCCATCTTCCTCCTCCCCCACCTCTTCATCCTCAGTCGCAATCTCTTCCCCCTCCTCTGCCGCGTCCTTCGTTCTCTCCATCTTCTATGGAGGCTGAGGTGGCCAAGGCGGAGCGGGAGTGAGGAGGAGGGGGAGTGAGGAGGAGGAAGAAGAAAGTGGGGGACAATGTTTTTTTCCTTTTTTGCCCGTTGTGCCGCCACCTCCTCCTCCCTCCTCCTCCTCCTCCTCCTCCTCCTCCTCCTCCGCTTCTGCTCCGTCACCTCCCTCTCCCTCCTCCTCTCATCACACCACACCTCCCGTACTGGTGGACCCTCCAGCAGACAGCCTGTCCCGACAGCCCCCCCTTCTGCGACCCGGCTATGGTGAGAGCCCTGCCGCCATCGCCTTTGCAGTAGAGATTACTCGACTACCGACTTTTTTTTTTTAAAGCCAACCCGAATAAGAACCCCTCCTCCATTTTTTCGAGAAAAAAAAAAAAAAGGCGGGTCAGTGGGGCAACAACATTCGGTCTAGATACGCAGCGAATAAGGACAGGACTGTTCGACAATCTATCCGGCAGAGAAGACGGTACTACTAGTCGTTAGTACTTAGTCATTTTTTTCCGTGCCCAACCTCTACGAAAAAGTCGTTAGTACTACATTCCTTCCAATCAACCTCTACAGCGCCAACACCTACTGCCCGCTCACGCTTGTTACTCCGGCAAACGAGTGAAGCACACAAACGGATCGCTCTCCTCCTCGTCGTGACACCCCCCACCCACCCACCTCTCTCTCTCTCTCTCTCTCTCTCTCTCTCTCTCTCTCTCTCTCTCTCTCTCTCTSTCTCTCTCTCTCTCTAAATCGCTCGCTCGGTCGCTCGAGGAAGGCCAGACAATAATAGATGCCCTCCATAATCATCGGCCGCGACATAGCCAAGTCGCGTAGGGGACGATAGAGATCCCAATCGCAAATCCTATTACCATTTGGATTCCAATTGGGGTCTGATTCATATTTCAACAGCTCATGGGTGTACCAACTGAAGTAGGCCCGTTGGTCCCAAGTCCCGTTAGTCCCAAGTCCCGTTTCCCCCTAAGTTTTCTGGGCCGTACGCGTGGATAATCAATCAATCAGTCAAAAAACCACTCCTTCTCCTAATCTCCTACGTACTCGAGTGGCCCCCTACGTTGGATCCTTTTTTTTTTTTTTTTTTACACGTTGGGTCCGTTCTTCCTCCTCCTCTTCATTCCCACTTTTCATCGGAAAAAAATATACTTCTCTTTTTTTTTTTCTTGGTTGTCACACTGTGGATCGTCGCTTTTTTATGTCTTGTCCTGGGTGGTCTTGTCCCGTTGTTTGGCCTTTGACGGAGCGGGCGGTGCTTGCATGTGCGACTTGTCATCTGGGATCTGTCTTGTTTCCCTCTGTTCTATTTGTTTCATTTGGCTGTTCCCTTCCTCTCTTCTTTGCCTCTTTGCCTTTTGGCTGTGTGCAAGTGGGTCGATATGACACACGGGGGTGGGGGCAGCCGCCGCTCAACCTACATCCACGTGGGCGGCCTTGTACGCAAGAGGTTCTGAACAGGGGGAGTTGTAAGGAAGAAGATTAAAAACGAATTTAAGATTTTTTTGCTTTTTTGGTTTTTTCGCTTAGGCGCTCTGATATCATGTGACAATATAAATATCGTCACAAACAGAACTGCCCGGTAAACCGTAGGCAGAGAGAGAGAAGAGGACACATATTTATATATGTATATCGATCTCGAATAACGAATCAATCAATCAATCAATCAATCAATCAATCAATCAAACAGTCGACTAACCAATCGATCCATCAATCCACCATCAATCCACCATCAATCCATCAATTAATCAATCCAACAATCAATCAATTAGTCAATCAATCAACACAACCGATTAATCGGCTAATCAATCAAACTAATTACTCAATTAATCGACAAATTAATCAATCAATCAATCAATCCCACACCCAGTCGCATCAATTCTGAGCCCAAACAACAAAACATACCTGTCGATCTTACGATGAAGACGAACCCATCTATGGCTGCCATTTCCATTTCCCTCCCCCATGCCTCCGTGGGCCTATTTTGCTCCTCCTCCTTCGCACACATCAGCGCTCCCAATTCGAAGGGGAAAAAAAAAAAAAACACACGAAAAAGGGTCTCGATCTCAAGCTCTCTTCACTCCCCGCTTCCCCCCTGTCCTCCCTCCGCTGGCTGGTAATCAAATCTCAATCAGTCGATCTAATCAATCAATCAATCAATCAATCAACACTCAGCCAATCAAGCAATCGACTAATCAATCAATCAACAGCCATCCAATCAAGTAATCGGCTAATCAATCAATCAATCAATCAATCAATCAATCAATCAACAATCAATCAACAATCAATCAATCAATCAATCAATCGACTAAGTGCTTAATCAATAAATTGATTAATCGATCAATCAATCAACTAATTGCCTAATCAATCAATCGAGCAATTGCCTATAATAAAAAAAAAAAACTCCCAGTCTCCTTTGAAGCTAAAAATAGAACAATATTAGATCGTACAAGTATCCTTCTATCACTTTTTTTCGTTTTATTTCTCTGTATTTTACAGAAAAGCATTGTTGTTTCTTATTCTATTTTCTTGTCGGAATTATTATTGTATTTTTTCAATTTTTTGTGTAGTGAAATAATCATGTATGATTCTAAAAAACGATTCGCATTACCAATCAATCGACTGATTGCCAAACCAATCAATCGACTAATTGCCTAAGCGACTAATCAATCAGTCAACCAATCAATCAAAATCCATCCATCCAATTATTAATCAAACAATCCACTAATCAATCAATCAATCCACTAATCAATCGATCCACTAATCAATCGATCAATTAATCAATCGACTAATCAATCAACTAATCAATCGATCAATCAGTCAATCAACGACTAATCAATCTATCAATCAATCAATCAATCAGTCAATCATTCCACTAATCAATCGATCAATCAATCACACAATCAATCACATCAATCGAATGAAATTAATTAATCTATCCATCCCAGATGTCAATCTCCCAAAGAAAATCAAGCTCTCTCTGCTACACAATCCCCTCCTCCCTCTCCTCCTCCTCCCTCCCCTCCTCCTCCCTCCACACCTCCCCCACCCAGTCGTCCTGTCTTTCTCCTTTTGCTTCGGACGCATCTGGAAGCAACGCCATCATCGTCTATCAGCCATAAAAAAAAAAAAAAAAAAAAAAAAAAAAAAAAAA